ATACACTGAGGTAAACACTGTGAGGTAAACACTGTGAGGTATACACTGTGAGGTAAACACTGTGAGGTAAACACTGTGAGGTAAACACTGTGAGGTGTACACTGTGAGGTATACACTGTGAGGTAAACACTGTGAGGTAAACACTGTGAGGTAAACACTGTGAGGTAAACACTGTGAGGTATACACTGTGAGGTAAACACTGTGAGGTAAACACCGTGAGGTAAACACTGTGAGGTAAACACTGCGGTAAACACTGTGAGGTAAACACTGTGAGGTAAACACTGCGGTAAACACTGTGAGGTAAACACTGTGAGGTAAACACTGCGGTAAACACCGCCGTGAGGTAAACACTGTGAGGTAAACACTCTGAGGTAAACACTGTGAGGTAAACACTGTGAGGTATACACTGTGAGGTAAACTGTGAGGTAAACACTGTGAGGTAACACTGTGAGGTAAACACTGTGAGGTAACACTGTGGTATACACTGAGGTAAACTCTGAGGTAAACACTGTGAGGTAAACACTGTGCGGTAAACACTGTGAGGTAATCACTGTGAGGTAAACAATGTGCGGTAAACACTGTGAGGTGTACACAGTGAAGTAAACACTGTGAGGTAAACACTGAGGTAAACACTGTTAGGTGTACACAGTGAGGTAAACACTGTGAGGTAAACAACTGTGAGGTAAACACTGTGAGGTAAACACTGTGCGGTAAACACTGCGAGGTATACACTGTGAGGTAAACACTGCGGTAAACACTGTGAGGTAAACACTGTGAGTTAAACTGTGAGGTAAACACTGTGAGGAAACACTGTGAGGTAAACACTGTGAGGTAACACTGTGAGGTATAGTGAAGTAAACACTGAGGTATACACTGTGAGGTAAACACTGTGAGGTAAACACTGTGTGGTATACACTGTGAGGTAACACTGTGAGGTAAACACTGTGAGGTATACACTGTGAGGTAAACACTGTGAGGTAAACACTGAGGTAAACACTGTGAGGTAAACACTGTGAGGTAACACTGTGAGGTAAACACTGTGAGGTAAACACTGTGAGGTAAACACTGTGAGGTAACACTGTGAGGTAAACACTGTGAGGTAACACTGTGAGGTAAACACTGTGAGGTAAACTCTGAGGTAAACACTGAGGTATACACTGAGGTAAACACTGTGAGGTAAACACTGTGAGGTATACACTGTGTGGTAAACACTGTGAGGTAAACACTGTGAGGTAAACACTGTGAGGTAAACACTGAGGTAAACACTGTGAGGTAAACACTGTGAGGAATACACTGTGAGGTAACACTGTGAGGTAAACACTGTGAGGTATACACTGTGAGGTAAACACTGAGGTAAACACTGTGAGGTAAACACTGTGTGGTAAACACTGTGAGGTAAACACTGTGAGGTAAACACTGTGAGGTAAACACTGTGAGGTAAACACTGTGAGGTAAACACTGTGCAGTAAACACTGTGAGGTAAACACTGTGAGGTAAACACTGTGAGGTATACACTGTGAGGTAAACACTGTGAGGTAAACACTGAGGTAAACACTGTGAGGTAAACACTGTGAGGTATACACTGTGCAGTAAACACTGTGAGGTAAACACTGTGAGGTAAACACTGAGGTAAACACTGTGAGGTAAACACTGAGGTAAACACTGTGAGGTAAACACTGTGAGGTAAACACTGTGAGGTATACACTGTGAGGTAAACACTGTGAGGTAAACACTGAAGTAAACACTGTGAGGTAAACACTGAGGTAAACACACACGGGATGAATGGGTGCAGCAGCCCCGGACTTCCGCTTCCGGCCTCCGTGTGCTGGTGTAGGTGGCGGGGAGAGTTGGGGTCGTACTACTAATACTACGTATTACATGACATTTTCGGATGTGTGAGTTGAGTTTGGACTCTCAACTTGTGGATATGTCGATGTTCAAGATGTCAAGGAACTGTTTATTTTGTGGTGTATTAAGGATGACAACACTGAGAGGACATGATGCAGCAGGAGTGAGTGCACGGATGGTGTCTCGACAGTGCTCGCAGCTCCATCTGGAGACTTGACACTTGTCAACCATGAAAATCCTTCACTGGGTGGGATACTCGCCATGATTCACGGGAGTGTTGGAGCACCCAGCACATCACCAGCACGGATGGTCAACACTCTGGTGCTCACTCTCAATAGGCATCGTGCTCCCTCCGTTGGGTGATCTTAGTGAAGTTCTTCTTTAACAATCTTAGAGATGAGGTGGCAACCCAATGCCACCAACATTATGAAGTCACTGCAGAAGATGTCATCATCTTAGTGGTCAAGGCAGAGACCACAAAGCTCCTTAACTACCTTGTTAAGCAGTTCCAGTGATGCTTCACACACAAGCACCAGTTAAATTACCCAGACCTTGACTAGGGATGTAATTTTATTTTACTTTATTAAATAATATACAATATAAAGATCATATTTACATCAATTTAGAAGGGAAAATGCGACATTTATATAGAGTTTGTATAATTCTCAGTAAACCAGTTTTTCATATCATCACAGAGCATGAGCCGTAAACCCCAGATGTAATAGTTGATCCTTCCTAGCAATACCTTCACTACTTTGTCCACTAAGTAACCCTCCAGCCTGCCTATCCACTGAGTAACCCTCCCGCCTGCCTATCCACTGAGTAACCCTCCAGCCTGCCTATCCACTGAGTAACCCTCCAGCCTGCCTATCCACTGAGTAACCCTCCAGCCTGCCTATCCACTGACTAACCCTCCAGCCTGCCTATCAACTGAGTAACCCTCCAGGCTGCCTATCCACTGACTAACCCTCCAGCCTGCCTATCCACTGAGTAACCCTCCAGGCTGCCTATCCACTGAGTAACTCTCCAGCCTGCCTATCCACTGAGTAACCCTCCACCCTGCCTATCCACGAAGTAACCCTCCACCCTGCCTATCCACGAAGTAACTCTCCAGCCTGCCTATCCACTGAGTAACCCTCCACCCTGCCTATCCACGAAGTAACCCTCCACCCTGCCTATCCACGAAGTAAGTCTCCAGCCTGCGAATCCACTGAGTAACCCTCCAGGCTGCCTATCCACTGAGTAACTCTCCAGCTTGCCTATACACACACACAAAGGGATGTAATTAAATGCAAAATAGCTGACGTCAGCACATAGCTGTAGGAAACTTTTGGTGGCGTCCAAACGCAACACTTCAGCGAAAGATGAATTACAATTCCAGTGTGAAAGTTTTAGTTGAAGTAAGTTATTATGAGGCGACCCAGCCGTGGAGAGTGGCACAGTTGTGGTTGTGAATGTGAGCCACTTACCCCGGGGTTGTTAGAGGCGGTATTCGTGTGGTAATTAACCTTGCTCTAACATATCTGAGAGTGGAACTTTCTTTCCTTCTGTCAATCAAGTCAAAAACTCTAAATGATTTTCAAGTTTGTTGTGTAGGAGGTAAGATGAGCCGTGCAGCAGGCGCCCCACAACAGCAGAGTTGTTCTCAGACACACGCTCCTCACAGCGTTGCGGATACCTCGTTATAATGACTCCCACGCAAGTCTCTCTCATGTGAAAAGGAAGCTTTTGTTTTAATATATTTTGTAATTATTTTCCAAATCATAAATTTTTAAAACATTATCTGAATATTTTTATTCACTAATAAAAATCATTAAAACATACTTCACTAACAAAGTAAACATGCGTGTATATACAGTCAAACACCAAGTTACGAGGAATCTTAAATTTGTGAATAAAATGTATGATTTATGATTTATGGCAGGAGTGGGATTGTCCAGGAGAGGTTGGCAACCACTGTCATAATAATGTAATATTTACATGATGCAGACTCAAGCTACACAACTCATCCCTTGTAAACCCCAAACAAATAATACTCGATTCTGTGAAAATGGTGAGAGAGTTTGTTATCAGAGTTAATGTATCCAGAAAACACATTTCTTTCAGAGTAAAACTTTCAGAGTAGAACTTTCAGAGTAGAACTTTCAGAATAGAACTTTCAGAGTAGAACTTTCAGAATAGAACTTTTATAGTAGAACTTTCAGAGTAGAACTTTCAGAGTAAGTAATTATCAAAAGAAGGCACCAAACAACTTTCAGAGAAGAACTTTCAGTGTAGAACTTTCAGAGTAGAACTAGCATCGTTGAGAGTATTGGGCGGTGTTGCTATGGGGAGATACGCAGCGGCTGGGGCTGCCAAGTTTGGGTTCACTCCTATACTGCGTGCTGGAGGTCACTGGCAGGGTGCAAGCTGGTCGTGGCCAGGCCAGCGCCCTGCAGGTGTGCACGACACGCAACACCGCCCACGAGTTCTTGCCTTATTGCAATACTTCCAGGGAAGTTTTGTGTGTGAAAATGTTACTGTTATTGCCATATTTGGGCAGTGTGGAGTACCTTATTGTTGAGGAATATATCGTTATGACTTATAATGTGCCTTTGCTCACAAAGGGTAATGGCCAGGATGGGGGGGGGGATATAACTACAGGGCCTAAAGAAGCAGCAGAATGGTTGAGGTTATCGTGGTCTGCGTGACTGACGGGTGAATAATGTGGCGGTAACGAGGATACCGCAGTAAGTCAGTGCGGTGATGTATCAGTTGAGACTTGAGGCAGAGATATGAAGGTCAAGGAGCACTTGTACACTAGTAAAAATACATGTGAAGATCATGGTGCACTTGTAAACTAATAAACAATATGGGAGTTCCACCGGGGCTCCGTGGAGTGTAGAGTGTGGCCTGCCCTCTCTGGTAGTTGGGGTTGTTTGCCGCTTTAGTCACCAGGGGGTGTGGGCGTCTCTGCCCTCCCTGCATTTGCTGCCTGGCTATGTGCTGACATGGCGAGTTTGCGATGGGAGGCCATCTTCCCCCTGTTGTGAGAGTGAACTCCGTGGGCCTTGAGTTCACTGGAGGTGCAGGATACCCAGAAGTCGAGACTGTTATGTGTGACATGCTCCGTGTCCTAGTGATTGCCATCTACGGTGTGGAGCTTGTAACTGCTCACCGGGTGATTCTCAAGTTCATGGGGGAGGAGGAATACCGTGACTTTCTCCGACGATACGAGGGATGTTCGTTGCCGATGCCGGGTGGTGCCGGCTCTGTGTCTATTACGGACCGTAGTGGGGCCCTGACGTATGTGAGTGTGCATGGGGCGCCCCTGGAGTTTCCAGAACACCTACTCCGACGTTACTTCCAGATGTTTGGGGCTGTAGTCAGTGTGCGGGTGAACACGCTCTTCTCAGGGAAGTATGCAGGTTTGCGGACGAACATTTGTACCCTGAGGAGGTGCATGCGGTTGGATATTCCATCTTCTGTCTGGGTGATGGGGTACTACGTCCGGGTGTACTATGCCCGGCAGCCCCGTACATGTTTTTGGTGTAGTCTGTTGGGGCATCAGGCTGCCAGGTGCACTTGGGCTACGGTTGCTTCCATCAACTTGTTCCGGGAAGAGGATTTCCCGCCGCTCCCTCTGGAGGAGGACTCCTGGGGTGAGGAGGTGAGCGTCCCGTTAGCTGATGCGGGTCCCCCCTGCGTCACCTGACATTCCTCTGGTTGTTGTGGACCCTACTCTGGGAGTTGCAGTGCCGTCGATTGATGTTCCTGCTCCTGTCTCTGTCCCCGCTACTCCCGTGGGCCTTCCTGGTGGTCACTGCGAGGCGTCGCCATCTTCCTCTCCCTCGTCTTCTGCTGCTGCGCCTGGCCCGCCTATATAGGCGAAGAAAACAAATCGCAGAGCAACTTGAGAGTCGTACCCTATCTCAAGAACGGTGAAGAAGGTTAGGTAAAGAAATAGAAACAATTGAACGGAAGCTACAAGAATCATACAAAACCCAGGAGAGGCAAAGAGAGCAAAAGGCCATCAGTGAAATAGAGAGAAATCCGAAATATTTTTTCTCCTATGCAAAATCAAGATAAAAAACCACATCTAGTATCGGGCCCCTGTGAAAGGGAGATGGAACTTTCACTGATGACAACAAAGAAATGAGCGAGCTACTGAGGAAGCAGTATGACTCTGTTTTCAGCGAGTCATTAAACGCACTAAAGATTGATAACCCAAATGAATTTTTCATGGATATGATACCAACATCAAATCATATATCAGACATCACCCTATCCCCACTGGATTTTGAAGAAGCCATAAACAGTATGCCTATGCACTCTGCACCAGGCCCAGATTCTTGAAACTCCATATTCATCAAGAACTGTAAAAAACCACTATCGCAGGCCCTCCACATTCTGTGGAGACAAAGCCTAGATACTGGCGTTATTCCTGATATACTAAAAACAGCAGAGATAGCACCACTTCATAAAGGAGGAAATAAGGCAGAGGCAAAAAATTACAGACCGATAGCACTAACATTGCACATCATAAAAATTTTTGAGAGAGTGTTAAGAAGTAAGATCACAAAATACATGGAATCACAGCATCTCCATAACCCCAGACAACATGGTTTCAGAACAGAGCGCTCTTGCCTGTTGCAGTTGCTGGACCACTATGATATGGCATTAGATGCTATGGAAGACAAACAAAACGCTGATGTAATTTACACAGATTTCGCAAAAGCTTTTGATAAATGTGACCATGGCGTTATTGCACATAAAATGCGTTGAAAAGGAATTACCGGAAAAATAGGCAGATGGATCTACAATTTCCTGACCAACAGAACCCAATGTGTAATAGTCAACAAAATAAAATCCAGCCCATCAACCGTGAAGAGCTCAGTCCCCCAGAGTACTGTGCTTGCTCCAGTACTTTTTCTCATCCTCATATCGGACATAGACAAGAACACAACCTATAGCACTGTATCATCCTTTGCAGATAACACTAGGATCTTCATGAGAGTAGGCAACATAGAGGACACGGCAAACCTCCAGTCAGATGTAGATCAGGTCTTTCTTTGGGCTACAGAAAATAATATAGCATTTAACGAAGATTAGTTCCAGCTCATGCGCCATGAAAAAATGAAAATATAAAAACGGAAACCTCGTACAAAACTCAGGCAAATCATAACATAGAACGAAAAGGCAACGTAAAGGATCTGGGTGTACTCATGTCAGAAGACCTTACCTTTAAAGAACACAATAAAGTAGCCGTCACAACTGCAAGAAAAATGACAGGTTGGATAACAAGAACTTTTCACACTAGAGATGCTATACCGATGATGATACTTTTCAAAATGCTTGTGCTCTCTAGAGTGGAGTACTGCTGCACAATGACAGCCCCTTTCAAAGCTGGAGAAATTGCTGACCTGGAGAGCGTGCAGAGATCCTTTACTGCTAGAATCCACTCAGTAAAACATCTAAACTATTGGGATCGACTAAAGAGCCTAAATCTGTACTCCCTTGAGCGCAGGAGGGAGAGATACATAATAATTTACACGTGGAAAATATTAGAGGGGTTGGTCCTAAACCTGCACACAGAAATAACATCACATGAGACCAGAAGACATGGCAGGATGTGCAGAATACCCCCGTTGAAAAGCAGAGGTGCAACAGGTACTCTGAGAGAGAACTCTATCAACATCAGAGGCCCGAGACTGTTCAACACGCTTCCGCTACACATAAGGGGCATAATTGGCCGACCCCTCACAGTGTTCAAGAGAGAACTGGATAAGCACCTCCAAAGGATGCCTGATCAACTAGACTGTGACTCATACATCAGGCTGCGAGCAGCCGCGTCCAACAGCCTGGTTGATCAGTCCAGCAACCAGGAGGCCTGGTCGACGACCGGGCCGCAGGGACGCTAAGCCCCGGAAGCACCTCAAGGTAACCTCAAGGTAAGGTAAGGCCCTGTGTCCTCGCCTCGTGTCTTGGCTGCGCTGGGTGCTGGGGTGGATACAGCACCTCATCCTGTGCCTGGCCTGGTTCCCCATGTGGTTGAGGATGCCGCCGTTCTACGACGAGTGTTGGTTCGCCCGACTTGTGTTGCGCGTGTCTCTGAGTCAGCCTCCGGGTCTGATGATGTGCAGCCGGAGCCTAAGCGTCTTTGTCGTTCTTCTGCTGGTTGGGCTGATGTTGGCGAGTTCGACGACTGTGGTTCTTCCGGCGACGGCAAGGTGGCTTCGGTTGCATTGCAATCTATGGTGGTGGCGGAGGTGCATTTGCCTGTGGATGCCATGCCAGTGTTTTGGCCTCCCCTTCTGGTGAGGTGTTTGCGGATCCTGATTCGGGTGCGTCGCCTGTCTCAGATGGTACCGGTTCTTCGTGGGGGTTGGTTCCACCTGCTGAGGTTCGTGGTGAGCGTGATGACCTGGTCGTGGTGCTGAAAAAGGATGCTCGCTCTGGGGGGTCCGTGCCCCCTTCCTCATTCCCTGTTTCGTCGGCGGCGGTCTGGTCGCCTCTTCCTCTGAAGCCATCTCTTCTGTAGCTCCTGCGGTACCGGTGGAGGTGTTACCATCACGTCAATCGTCACCTTCTTTTCCTGTGCGTTTGACGCCATGGCCGTCTTGGCGGCCTACATACTCTTCTTCGGTGTCTTCTGCTTCACAGGAGAGGGTGTTTCGTGCTCCCCTGCCTCGTTATGCGACTTGCGTCAGTGAGCTTCGGGAATGGCCGTTTCCGCCCGATTTGGTGATTCCTGAGTTTATGCAGGCCCCACAGCGGAAGGGGGATCGACTCTCTACTGACATGGAGTATTTGATTTGGGAGGCCTATAAGAAAAGGTTTCCTTGAGATGAGTTCCCTGAGAAGTATGCTCCTACCTCTGGGAGTTATATTTATGCCCCATGATTCCTTTGTTTGGCTGTATGTTGTGGGTTGTCTTCCATTTGTGTGCATGGTTGTGGGGTGCGGTTGTGTGTGTGTGTGGGTGGGGTGGGTTTGTTTTCCCGGTTCCTGCATGCTCCGGTGTTTGTTATGTGTTATGTATTGCGATTATGTTTTGTGTATTGCGATTATGCTGTCCTTTTGTTTCTATTGTGTATTTGTAATTTCCTTTGGTGTTGTATTTGTTATCATTTTGTCTTGGTGCCTCTCCGTGTGTGGTTATGGTGCCGGTAGACTTGTTCTGTATAATTATGTTCTTGCCATACCGCAAGCACACATCCGCCTTCGCTCCAGACTCGTTGGTATCCGTGGGTGCCCGAAACACAAGGCCTCTCTTCTTGCTCAGGTACCTCTGCCTTCTTAACTTCATGTTCCTCGTCGAGAGAATCAGGAGACACTGCTAGAATATCGTCGATCTGCGGGTGAAAGGACAAATTAAATATGTTTACATCCGGGTCTGTCTTTACCGGGACATTACCATTGCCTGTTACCTCAGACCGTGCTGTTCCGGTAGACTCGTCCGCAACTTGGGAAGATTGATGCTCCAATCTGTCACCAAGTCGTTGGCTAGTACCACGTCAATCCCAGCCACAGGGAGGGTATCGACTACTGCCAACGCACATGTGCCGCTGAAATAAGGCGAGTCAAGATGTACTGGCACTAAGGGGGCGATGTACTGCGTCCTAGGAAAACCAACCAGGACAACCTCTGGTCTCCCAACCACACTTACTTCCTCGGGTAACGAGCTCTTCACGATCAGGGACTGGGCTGCTCCACTATCTCTGAGCACTACAATTGATCTTCCAGTATGATCACTCGTTACATACCCGGTTGAAGTTGAGGGGCCAAAAACTTGGTTCTTCCTGCGTCGTCGTCGACTGGTTTCCTGCTGGTGGTGTAACACAGCTCATCAACATCACCTCCCTTCGTGCGCTGCCACCTCTTCTGCCTCGGCATCTAGCAGCTATATGCCCTTTCTGCCCACAAGTCCAGCACACCATATTTCTCCTCGGGCTCCGATGTTTCGGACTGCTAGGACTTGTTCTTCGGGGGCTAGTCTTCTTAGCGCTTCGTGTGACGGGTCTTTCTTCTTCGTCGTGAGGTCTGTCAAACCGGCGCTGGTAATTCCTCGGGACGTACTTAGCAGACGGCCTATGAGTCAGGATATACTCTTCAGCCATGGTGGCTGCTGCACTCAAGGTCTCCACCTGCTGCTCTTCTAAATATGTCTTGAGGTCTCCAGACAAACAATCCTTGAAGTCTTCGAGCAGAATCAGCTGCTCGAGGTCTTCCTTGGTCTCCACCTTCCGAGAGGCACACCATTCTTGAAAAAGTCGCTCCTTGATCGTGGCGAATTCGGTAAAAGTGTGCTCTGAGGTCTTCTTCAGGTTTCTAAACTTCTGCCTGTAAGCCTCAGGTACCAATTGGTACGCCATGAGCACCACTTTCTTCACCATATCGTAATCGCCGGAGTCGTCAAGGGATAACGTAGAGTAGGCGATTTGGGCCTTCCCAGTCAAGACGGACTGTATCATGATGGCCCAATTCTCCCTTGGCCACTCCAAAGAGGCAGCGACTTTCTCGAAGGCTGCGAAGAAATTCGAAACTTCTCTCTCGTTGAATTTGGGGACCATTTTGATATTCCTTACCGGATCGAAACCGCTTACTCCAGTTTGTCTCTGTCCAGCGCCTAGTCGTAATACTTCTAGTTCATGTTGGTCTCTGTCCTTCTTCTCTCTCTCTTTCTCGTTCTTCTCTCTCTCTTTCTCGTTCTTCTCTCTCTCTTCTCTCTTCTCTTTCTCGTCTTCTCTTCTTTCTTCTTCTCTTCTAATTCTAGACGCCTCATCGCCAATTCCTTCTCTTTCATCTCCATTTCTTTATCTTTTAATTCTCGTTCTACTTCTAACTTCTTCCACTCTATCTCGCGATTGATCTCTAGGGCACGCATTTTGACGGAAGGGGGATCGACTCTCTACTGACATGGAGTATTTGATTTGGGAGGCCATTTTAATAAGAAAAGGCCTGAACATTCCTTGAGATGAGTTGGAACACTCCTGAGAAGTATGCTCCTACCTCTGGGAGTTATATTTATGCCCCATGATTCCTTTGTTTGGTGTTTGGGTTGTTGGGTGCTGGTTTTGGTACCGTGTGTTGTATTGTTGTCGTTTCTGTACTGTATTCCCCTGTCTTTGTATGTATTGTTGTTTTTGTGGTCAGCCCTTCAGGCCGGTGTTTTGTGGTTGAGTATCTTTGTTCTTTTGTACTTTTGTGAGTTTGTGCTTTGTCATTTTGTGTTTTGTGCTCTGTTTTGTTCTAGTTTGCTTGTATTGTTTTTATTGTATTTATTGCATTTCTTCGCATGCTTGCATGTAATAATAAAAAATAAAAATATATAAACAATACTTGTGAAGGTCAAGGTGCACTTGTACACTAGTAAACAATATATGTGAAGGTCAAGGTGCACTTGTACACTAGTAAACAATACATGTGAAGGTCAAGGTGCACTTGTACACTAGTAAACAATACATGTGAAGTTCATGGTGCACTTGTACACTAGTAAACAATACATGTGTAGGTCATGGTGCACTCGTACACTAGTACCACCTCCCTATCTGGCCCGTTGGCGCCGTGATGGGGCTTCGTGGGCGGCTGCCGGAGTGTGATGCTCTATGGGACAGTCCTCTGTCCTTTTGTGATCTTATGCTCCTGCTGCTGTCTTCTCCAATTGTGCCGGATCGCTGTTCCTTTTCCTTATGTTTCGTTTTTCTCCCCCCTCTTCTCCTATCTGCTTGTCGTTTCCTGCCGACCTTTTGCTTGTTTTGGTTATTCTTTTGGACTTCTTCTATTTTGATGCCCAGGTGCTTGGGGAGGCATACTCTTGCACCCGTAGAACTGTAGTACCCAACGTCAAGAGTGAGGGGAACCTTATATTGTCAATCCTCCTTTCATCACTGAACCCGATCTCGACGGACTGACGGTTCTTAAACTGGCATTTGTGGGGCATTTACTCACGACGCACCCCTAGGGGGCCCCGACATGATCAGCTATAGCTTCTTGTTGGTGGCCTGCCTCTAATTGTGGCTCCATGGTGGGTATGGGGTCACATTCGTGAATGAATATTTTTCTCTCCGTACCTATGTCTACTTCTGTTCCTCTTTTACCTTCTCAGGCTCGTGGGGTGGGTGACCAAGCCCCCGAGTCAGACTGTGTTAGAAGACCTGGCTCTGTAGCCCCCGCTGCATTGGGCCCCGATCTTGCTCCTCCTTTGATCCTTCTGACTACTCCCCTTGGCTCCCCTTTCTCCTCTGTGGTTGGGTCGAGACCCAAGCCTCAGTGGTGACCATCTCGTCCCCTGGCATGGCTCAGTCTCTAGTTGTGATTACTGCGCCTTTTAACCCCTCCCTCTCTCTGGGGGTTCTCAATGCCATCCTTGACACGGCCGCACTCGTTCGATTCCTTCCCGTACTGATGGGTTTCAAGCCTTTTTTTTTTTTTTTTTGAGATATATACAAGAGTTGTTACATTCTTGTACAGCCACTAGTCCGCGTAGCGTTTCGGGCAGGTCCCTGGAATACGATCCCCTGCCGCGAAGAATCGTTTTTTCATCAGAGTACACATTTTACTGTTGTGTTAAACAGAGGCTACAGTTAAGGAATTGCGCCCAGTAAATCCTCCCCGGCCAGGATACGAACCCATGACATAGCGCTCGCGGAACGCCAGGCAAGTGTCTTACCACTACACCACGGAGACTGTTTACTACACTACACCTTGTTTTGTTCCGCTTCATGGGCCAAATACTTTGATCTCCTCCCCCTTGATTCTGTTCCTCCTGACGATTTCTCCCTCCACAGGCACCTTGTTGATTCTGTAGATGCCTCTGTTACCTTCAACCCCACCCGTCTCAGTACGCGTGTCATTACTGCTCCTTCTCAGGATGTAGCCTCCCGCTTGGCCGCCTTGTCCTGCCTTGGCGAGACCTGTTGGCACTATTCTCCTTCCATCCCATGTTGCTACTGGTGTTCGGAATCTCCAGGACTGCCACGAAGATATTCGTCATATCCTTGATGCCCAGGGCCATTCTGTCCTCCAGGTGGACTCATTTACTCGTCCGCCTCGTGGTCGTCGCCATCAACCTCTTCAGGTTGTGAAGATTACCTTTGATGGTAGGACCCTTCCGCCCTCTATCCTTTTTGCTGGGTCCAGGTGCTCCGTCCAGGAGTACATTCCCTCTCCTCGGCTCTGTAATAAGTGCTGGAGGTTTGGGCATGGTGCCCTCCGCAGCTCTGGTACTGTCTCTCTCTGTCCTTTGTGTGGGGGCGAAGATCACTCTAAGTTGGAGTGCACTTCTCCCCACGCTCGCTGCCTCAATTGCGGTGAGGCCCACCTTACCTTCTCCCGTGCGTGTATACATTACAAGCTTGAGGCAGCCATCCTCAACTTGAAGCACCAGGAGCGTTTGTCTTTTCCTGAGACGAGGCGCCAAGCTCGCCAGCTCCCACCTTAAGCTAACGTCTCTTATGCTCGCTTGTTGTGCTCTTCCTCTCCTCGTCCTTCCCACCTTCCTCAGACTCGAAACCGTATCCAGGCCTTGGACCCTGACACGCCCACCGCCCCCTCCTCCTCTGTTCCTTTGAGTTTTGTCCCAAGGGGTCCTGCTCCTGGTCCTCTGTCTGGGGTTCCCCTTCTTTCTGCTTGGTCTGTCATGTCTCCTGTGTCTTCTTCCTCACCTCCCTCCGATCCTCCTTCCCATCCTTCTCCTCCGTCTATTGGCTCTCCACGCCACCTGTCAGTATGGGCTGATATCCATCGCTCTTCCAACGGCCGTCGTGTATGCTCTCGTTCTGGTTATCTTGTTGAGACGCTGGAATCGTTGTCCAATACGAAGTTGCTGGGACACCTGTCTCTTTGAGTCAGAAGTGTAAGTCTGGATCCTCTTCTTCCTCCTCCCCGGTGGGTAAAAGGCTTCGTTTTCTTCCTCGCCCCCAACTTCTGATTCTCTCGCTCCGTCTCCTCCCGTTTCGGTGGTTCCACCCCCTGTTCCAGCTATGGAGGTCTCTTTGGCCCAAGAGGTAGAATGCTTCCCTCTCAGTTGGTGCCCTTGCTGAGGTACATCCCCTGGTTTCTACCCCTCCTGCTGCTGTTCTTGACCCTCGGTTGTCCTCCCCTCCTCCTCCTCCAGACCCTACTCGTCAGCCCCTGGCCGGACGAGTAGGGTCCGAGTTCCTTCTAGCTCCCTTCCCTCCTTCTTTACTCAATTTACCCATGCCCCCTAACCCTGACTTCGCTGACCCTGACCCTGATCCTGCGCTTCTTTAACGTGCTGTGTTCCCTTTTCGCCTTTGTTTCATCATTGTTCTCTGTTACTGTCCTTTCTCTTCTCGTTGATGTCTATTCTTCAATGGAACGTTCGTGGTTATTTCGCCAATTTCCTTGAACTCCAGCTTCTGATTTTGCGGTTTTTGCCCCTTTGTGTCTGTCTCCAAGGAGCCAATGCTTGGT